TCTAAGCTAATTCCACCTGCCAGTATCCTCAAGAGGAGCAGAGCATCACCCCACCAAAATTTACACAAAACCACTTGTGTAGGGGAGCAAGTTTGTCATTTACTCATCTTTCCAACAAATACCTTAGGGAAATACCTTTCTGGCCTTAGGGAAAAAGAATCAAACATGACTTTTTAGGGATAGGTGAGAATCTGTTTAAGAAACATTGGTAAGGAACTCAGGATTAAAAGCATTGCTTTTGAGTCAAACCTGTCTGCTGCTTACTCTGGCTGACTGTGCCACATATTTGATTAGCAAGTATAGTGGATCCTTAAAAGATTTTTCCTACAAAACATTACATTAAAACATTACACTTCTGACTCTAAACTTCAGCTCTCTTGTGTGAGATCTAGGAATAAAAATGATTTTGAAACGTAAATATCCGTGAATCCTTATCCACACTGAGCACTCTACAAATGTTATTTATGTTATCATCATAAATAATCTTCTGTAACCACACATTTGAAATTCAAAAGAACTGGCATAAAATTGGCACATTCTTCTTGCATATGACACATAAGTGACAAAGCAACACCATAAGTATTAAACTGATGACCAACATCATCTCTGCAAATCAGGAAGGAAAGTCACCAACTCTCAGCACTGCAGCGGGTATAAAACCCAGTCTCCCCATGTGACAGCAGAGACCCAGAAAAGGGTTTGGCTCCTGGCAAATGGGCTCTGTCTGCCAACTTGGGAGCCTTCTCACATTGCACCTCCCCAGTGGACATGTCACTGTTACCTCACCATCTCAGATCAGGATCATGCTGATCTTAGCAATAATAATTCTCGATGAATCTTGGCCTCAGGGAAACCTTATAGGAAGATTTTTAAAAAAGAATTAACTACTTCTAACATTATACTTACTTGTGAAACACTAAAAAATGTTTTTCTCCTAAGGTCATATCTGAATAATAGTAATTTGAACATAGTAATTTAGACATTTCACAAAAGTATAAGTAACAAAAGGACAACTAGATAAAAGGAACCATTTCAAAATATAAACTTTTTTGCAAAAATAAAGAAGTCTATTCTCACCATTTCTATTCAACAATGTACAAGATATTCTCATCAGAGGAATTAGGAGACAGACACTGAGAAAGAGAAATAAAATACTTGAAGAGATTGGGAAGAAAGAAATAAACGATCTCTATTCACAGATGTCATGAGCTTATAAACAGAAAATGCTAAATAATCCTTTAAAATGATTAGAGGTCATAAAGTAGTTTTAAAATTTATGGAATGAATACCAATATACAAAATAAATTTTATTTCTATATATTACCAATCCAAAAGTAAAATTTTGAAAATAATTACATTTGCAATAGCATCAAAGAGTAAAACAATTATCAGTAAGCTTTAAGAAACTGAAAACGACAAAACAAAATAAAGATCTAAATAAATGGGAAAATATATCATGTTAGTAGATAATAAAAAGGCAATATTGCTAAGATGGAAAGAAGCACAAAGTCGGATGACTCACATTTCCCAGTTTCAAAGTTTACTACACAGGTACAGTAGTCAGAGCAGTGTGGTATTGGCACAGAAATAAACTTGCATATATAAGTCAAGTGGCTTTTTATAAGGATATCAAGATAATTTAAAAGGAAAAGCAATCGATTCAATAAATAATGCTTGGATAACTATCTGAATATCAAAAAGAAGAAGCAAGAGGAGAAGGAGGAGAATTTGGATTCTTTCCCTACCTTACACACAAAAATTAATTCAAAATGGATCACAGACTGATCTATAAAATTATTGAAAGAAAAACCTAAGAGTATATCTCAAGAGCTTTGGGTTAGTGGATAATTTCTTAAACTTGAGACAGCACAAGGACAAATAAGTAGATTAGCAGAAATATTCCAAAATTTAAAACTTTTGTGCATTAAGCGATATCAATAAACTGCAGAATTAGAGAAAATATTTGTAGATTATATTGTATTATAAAGGCCTAGTATCCAGAATATATAAAAATACAGCAATTTGTAATTTTTAAAATAGGCAAAGGATTTGAATAAACATTTTCCCAGAAAAGATGTACAAATGACCAGTAAGCACGTGAACAGATGGTCAACATCGTTAGTCATTAAGGAAATGTAAATCATCACCACAGTAATTAAGATGAGTTTCACGTGATTAAGATGAATAAAATTCAAAAGAGAGGTAAGAAAAGTTCACGAGAATGTGAGCGTACTAGGATCCCCACTAGGATACATCCTTTTTTGCAATGTGAAACAATGCTGTCACTTTGGAAGGTAGTCTGACAGTTCTTCAAACTTATAAATATACACTTAACACATTATCCAGCAATTTATTCCTGCGGATATACCCAAGAGAAATTAAAATATATATCCAAACAAAAATCATATACAAATGCTCATACCATCATTATTTATGAGCCCAAAAAAAGCCTACTCAAATATTCATTGAGTAACAAATAAATAATTAAAATGAAAGAAATAAAAAATGGATTTTGACTTAGCAATAAAAAGAATGATGTACTGTACTGATGTGTATGATGACATGGATAAACCTTTAGAAACTTTCCTAAGTAAAAGAAGCCAAAGATCACATATCAAATGATTTTATCCACATGAAATCCCAAATAGGCAAATTTATAGAAGACACAAAGGAGTTTAATAACTTGATCAGGACTTGGCAACAACTGGGTACAAGATTTCTTTTTGGAGTAATAAAAAGATTTCAGATTTAGATTGTGAGGACAACTGCACAAATACCATGATTATACCAAAAACCCCTGAATTATGTACGTTAAATTGGTGAATTGTAGAGTATGAAAAGTAAAATCTCCATAAAAATGTTAAATAAATGGACTTAATATCTTAAAATTAAAAAAATAAAAGAAACAAGGCAATAGGCACAGCCAGGTTTCGTCACCACCTCCAACCCCAACTATGTGGTCTCTGGGAAGATTCAGCCTCACTCTGGGCCTGCACAGATGGAAGCTTACTATCATGCAACAAGAGGACACTGAGAGAGGAGGAAATGGGCAGCCTCAGGGGTACAAGGAAGGTGGAATCAAGGTGATACTGTAGGGGAAAAGAAGCACGACCCAGGACACCAGGCCACTGTAGCCAGACTGATTCTTAGTCCCTGTCTGCTTCCCAGGAGAGCCTTTCTTAAATAGCAGAGGCACCATTGTTCCTGGAGCCATGCTGTGAGTAGGTACTGACCAGGAGCAGCTTCAGCAGCAGGGGTCTCCCATCAAGGACTACATTTGCAGCAAAACAGAGCATTTAGAACATTCACAGAACCAAAAGAACATAAGAAGGACCGTACAATTAAATTCTAGGCTGTATTTTATCTTATGCTATTCATCGGGAGGGTCATTTCCTTCCCGTGCCTACCAGGCATTAGATGCTTTGAGCCTCGTTTTTTCAAGTGTGTAATGAAAATAGATGTTGAGCACTAAAACATAAACATATGTATCATTCATAATGCATTCAGATGTTTTTTAATTATTCATAGTTCCTGAAAGTTATTTGACCTATCATGCATATATATCCAAGCAATGTTTATATTAGAACCACAGCCTCAGTGTCCACAGTTCCAGCTCCTTGGCATTCCCGTCTACAGAATTAAAATTAAATGAGTCAGTGGTCAATAAAAGTTACATGTTATTTCCATAAAATTACCCATTGTACATTGCTAGGGATGGAAAAAGAAGGTTGTGTGAAGTTGTCAAAGCTCACAGACCACAGAGGGCTTGCTCTCTGATTAGGGTGCCTACCATAATTACCCTGTCCTCAATATAATTCACTATTTCCTTAAATAATTGGCGGTCTTGGGGTTGCTCCTCATCTAAGAAAAAATAACTGAGAGGGTCACCCTGTCTTCTGTTTAAGTTCTGTTTTCCTTTTTTCTTTCTTTTTTTTTTTTTTTTTAAAGGTAGTATTCTGGGCTCCAAAATACCACATTCTTATGTTTTGGTGTTTGCATAAATTTGCAAGTTAACATAAATGGTTCCAACTTAAAGAATGTGAAACAAAATAAAATTTGAATTCAAATCCAGAATGGAGAAGAGACACGTGCAGAAATAACAGATTTTTAATCTTGCTGATTTTTTTCAGAAATGAGATTTAGGAAAGTCATAACACACACTCTTTTGATTTCAAAGAAAAGTGACACTCAGAGACTGGTACAAAGAGGACCCCCTCCCCCTGACACACACACATTATGAGCATTTACGGATTACATCAAAATCTGAAGCTCAGAAATATGACTCAGGCTAAGGTAACCACCACGTTCCTACTTTTGGAAACCCATCCAGAAAAACAAAATGTAAAGAACATTATGTGAGTAGCTCAAGCAAATACAGGCACAGATTCACCTCTGCTGCTTGTAAAAACTCTTGCTTATTTATCTTTTCATTTCTACTTCATTTGGGCAGCAGTATGGCTTGATGGTTAGACCTCGTTTTGTATCCCTGATCCATTCACCATTTAGTTTTTGTGTGACCTCTGAAAAATGATTTAATCCAAAAGCACTTTTTTCATGATTTTTCCCTAATATAACAATAGCACCAGGCTTAGACTTATTGTGAGAATGAAATGAGATTATGTTGTTCACTTAGAATAGTTGTGGCCAGCATAAAGCAAGCATTCAGTAAGGGTTAGCTGTTGTGGGCTTGATGTGGTGGTATTAGTATTTAATACTTAGAATCTGGTAGCCAGAAGAACCAGGTCTGAGGCTGTTTCTTTTTCCTCCAGTCTATCCTCTGAGTCTGTCTAGATAGAAGAAGCACTCAGGAAAGAGATGGCTTAAGTCATGGTGACAGCTTGTTGCCAGGAGCTCTGGCTCAGGACACAGGAGATATGGCTCTTCATTGCACCCTGTCACACATCAGCTCCTCTCACAGCCCAATCTCCCTTTGCTAAGGTACTCCAATAGCATAACTATAAGACCTTAACACAAAATAAGCAACAGGCATAGCATCTTACCTCATCATCTTTTTCAGCTGCATTTATTTCCAATTTTTGGACCACCGACTTGTCATTCTCCTTTAACATTTTCTCTCGAACTTTGGTTTCATATTCAGGCCGGGAATGCTCCTAAACCAAAGAGTCAGGGAGCAGTTAGTAAACAGGAAGAAGAATGACCTGGACCTTTGGGTTATAATCAGACACCACAAGTACATTAAAGTCGGGGTTGGGACTGGATTCTATCAGACATGAACTGCCACACCATACAGGATACAAGTAGTCTAGACCAAGGACACAGCATAAAGGAGAGACGAGACAAACAACACGGGTTACCACACTGAAAGCCAAACCTGGGCACGTTCCTGAGGATGGCACCGGTGTTGAGAAAGGAGAGAGGAGATGTTAACTTTGCTGATGCAAAGAGAAGCAAGGTGCTCTTCAGAGCAGTTTGACAAAGGCAGAGCATAGAACTGGTCACACCAGTGGCCTTAGACCTCAACTCACTTTCAAGAAACCAAATCCCAGCTGAAGAAACAGATGTGCCCAACATCAGAAGTCAGGGCAACAGCAAAACTTCCCTGACTCATTGTTCTGCAAGCTAAAATGGCAACCAATAAACCTAAAGTTAACAGTGGCCATAGGGAATCTTAAAACGCACTTGCCTGAACCTGTTTCCAGCAGAGCATAGGTAAGCAACTCACTGACAAACATGCCAATGCTCCCAAGACATCGCTGGGCCATTCTGCCATACAAACCTGAACTGTGAGTCATAAGTTTCAAAAAAGAAGGCCTAACTGATCAAGCGGACCATGGTTATCAAGTCAGTGCAGATACCGGGACAGGAAGATGCAAGATTCGCTTCAAAGGGAGCTTAACAGTGCACCCCTGGGCTCACCAGCAGGTCTTCCTGCAGCTCCCAGCTCCAGTACAGATATCTACAGATGTGAGGAAAGCGTGTTTCTACATTGTTTACTGATATCACCCAGGCATGGATTCAAGTGCTAGTTCTGTGATTTAGAGAACACACATTTTCTTACCACTGCCCATGTATCAGAGATTCCACAGAGAGGCTCCTAATTTGTCTCTGGATTTCTCAAAAGAAGCCATGATATTGGAGAGACCACAGACATGACTAACAAGTTTAATACACAACAGCAGCTAACACGATTCTGGTGTTTATTAAGGTCTTCTATTGTCACTTCCAGGAATCTTATCTGTTAATCAGTCATACTTACTGGATGGGGCCCCTCCTCTCTGAGTTACTAGAGTTTGTTTGTTTGTTGTTTTAGCTTACACCACAACCATTGCTCTTGGTTGCTTAGTTTTCTGTTAGCTTATCTCCTAGCTGTTTTGCACAAGAGTCTTCTTCTCCTAACACAAGGATCAGCTCCCTGTTTGGCATTATTTTTTTTCTTGCAGTAACTGGCACCATGAATGAAGAACACACAGGAATATTGAAATACTGGTGAGGGGCTGGGGATTTAGCTCAGCGGCATAAGCGCCTGCCTTGCAAGCAGGCAGCCGTGAGTTCGATCCCTGGTACCGATAAAAACGAAAAAGACAAAAAAAAAAAAAAAAAAAAAAAAAAAGAAATACTGGTGAAGTTCACTCAATTTTGTCTCTCAACTTCCTCAACCTGCAACACAGCATTTCTTAAGGTGCGTGTGTTCCAAGAGAGTTTTAGCTAAAAAAGGATTCCAGGTTGTAAAAAAGTAAAAAACGCCACTCAATGCATCACCTTTCTGGAGTCACAATGAACATATTAAAAACTCTGGAAGGTACTACTGTAAAGACACCTGCTTAATTTCCATACGCTCCCAATTTCCCAAAGAACAGCTTTTGCCTATAGCAATTAACATTCTGCAGGAATACTCTGAAAAATGTGGTTTGAAGTTTTCTTCTATGGCCCCTGAAATTTGATTACACTTTTCTACATTGTTCCAATAGAAAAGTTTAATAAAAACCTGCAGCCTTGTCTTATGGCATTATAATATGGGTTCCGAACCTCTTCAGGCCAGAGTAGCTTCTGTCCTCTCATACCCTGCAGATTCTCTGCATGGCAGGTTGTTTCTGGCTGTCTATGACATCACACACGGGCATTTCCTTGCATACCCTAACTGTGGCTGTGACCCACCATATCCCACAGGACCTCAGTTCAAATACCTCCAGTTGGGATAAGCCAGCTTTTTTTGGCACATAAACGAGTGTCAGAAATTCAAAGCAGAAATAGCTTGCAGATTTGGTGAGGTTACAGAATCCCCCAAAGGCTGGACAAGGCAAGTTTGCTAATCCTAGGACTCTGGAAAACCAAAGCAGAAGGATTGCAACTTTGAGTTCAATCCTGGACAATTTAGAAACTTAACAACTGAAATTTAACCTGTTTCAATTTTTTTAAAAAGCCAGGACAAAGGAGCTCGAGGCCACAGCAGAATCGTCTCATGAAGGCTGCTCAACCCCAACCCTAGGCACAACAACCTGAAATTCCCCAAACAGAGCCTCCCTAGTTGCATAATCTGATGCCAAATTACTCCAAATACTCCTATCTGGAATACTCCTTGGGAGGAAGAACTCAAGCGAGGTGGGAACCAGGTGATCTAAAGAAGTCAAGTCAGAGATTCATCCAACAAAGTCATTCACTGAGGAGTTAGCAAACCTCTGCTACGCTCTGACCTCTCTTCTACAAACTGAAGATACAGCGCGGGTCCTACGGCAGGGCCCCTCCCCCACAGAGGAAGAGGAAGGTAACAGGAAGTCACCTGCGACACACATGAGAAACTAGCACATGAGGAGGAGGACAACAGAGGAACAAAGCAGACTGGGGTTTAGCGGAGGCTGATCAGAGGAGGCTCACATTTCACTAAGACCAAAAATGCAACCAAGGACAGATACAAGGAGACTGCAGGAAAAGGGTTCTAGCAGAAGAAACAGCCGGCGCAAAGCCTGGAATAAATTTGAGACAGAAGGAAGGCCTCCATGCCTAGAAGGTCTCAGCAAGGAGGACGACAGCAGAGCCAGGGGCAGGAAGCTGGCAGGGCCTTTAATTTCCTCTGAGAAGGGGAAGCTGTTGAGGATACCTGAAGCTTGATGTGCCAAGTGAGTGGTGGGAAAGATACTGACACGCTCAGCGGTGCCAGGGGCACCTGGGGCCTGCTGCCACAGAAACTAATCGGACAGTAGAGACTCACTGCACTGAGTACTCTACTTCAGAGCAGACTGGCTGGCCTTCCCACAACAGGGACACTCAGAGCCCAAAGGATGTCCCTTGACAGTGTCTACAAGGACACCCATTGGCAGGGGGCACACTGGTCCAGTGGTTTGGCTCTGGCATTTGACTGCTCACCTCATCCATCACAGCTCTGATCTTTTCTGTTACATCCCACATTTACAAACCAGATTTAAGCCACCCTACTTGTTCCATTCCTTGGGAGGCTACATGTTGGGGTACTTCAGCTGGGAGGAAGAGAGGGTGAATGGGCTTTGGTCTATGTCTGCAGTCACACCTCCTTCCCCCTAAGCAGCTGTCTCCTGGCAAAGAGCTCAGGGAAGCAATGTCTCCAAGTTACAGGCAGCTAGACTGGGGGACCTCTGATAATGAAGAAGGTGCCTGGTTAAAACAGAGAAGGCTGCCAATTATGGCCTCCCAGGACAACTGCATCCCTCTTCCCAACTCCCAGTAATATCTGCCTCCTTTGCAGGCCTCATTTGAGTGTAAGATGAACTTTTTTCAACACACACGGCAGTACCTCCTGTGCACCCTAGGGCTCCTGTTCAAGTCCCTCATGCCTTACTTGTCTTCCCTCCATGCTTTCTGTGTCCACGGAAATACATAATGAGCAATCAGTGCCCGCCCTGACCTTGCCATCAGACTAAGTTTTTTTCTCTATCCCTTTTGATCCTGCCTCTGTGTGCTGCAATCAACAAGACTTTCTGGGCATCTTGCTGTTTACCCCAAGCTTTCCCAGATACAGGCCTCTGCTTCCACTTTCTCCTTGTGCATGCCCTGTCTACCCTCAGCTGCCCATTAAAATCCAACTAGCTTTCAAAATACTGATATTTTCAAAAGAAAAAACTTTCCATACCCTATTCTGACCAAAAAGAATCTCTCTCACATCTGCCCCATCAACTCAACATATTTACAGACCAGACAGCATCCTGCTGAATGTAACCCTCGGGCAGTCAGGGGCTAGGCTTCAGGAAGGTCAACACTGCAAACCAAACCCCGGTGCATAACAGGTGCTGATGTGTATGTTCACAACTGAACTGAATTTAAGGATGTGTTTGAGAGTCTAGTTCAAAATAGAAATGCATTAAAGGAAAAGATGAGGCTGGGGTCCTTTGCTCTCACCCATGCTGGCCCTCAGATGTGGGGTGGAGGGTGGCACTATTGTGTCACAAAACCATCCATGCCTGCAGGAACCTCACACAGAGATCCCATCCGGAGCACTTCCTTCTGCCATGAGCAAACCCAGGCTTGGCCAGGCGCCTCTCAGCCTGCATGCAAGTTCCTCAATCGTGTACCTGCCAGGAATTTACCATGGCTCATTGGGTTAAACAAAGACGTAGGAAATCTGACTATAGAAAGGCAAATGGGCCATAATACCACTCCTGCCAGGGGCCTGTTACAGAGATGTCAAGGGCATCGAGTCATGACTGGTGCTGTTCTCTGTGTATGTTTATACTTCCTTTCTAACAGAAAGACTTACTGGCTTCCTCAGCAGTACTGAGCAGACACACTTAGCTTGGCTCTGGCCTCCACAGATAAAAATGTCAGAGTTTCTTTGCTTCTTTGAAGACATCCTAGCCTCTAGCATTACGACATTAAGAAGAAAGCAAGGACTGCTCCCATCCAACCACTGCAACCATGTTTATATTCATTCATTCTTTCTTTCATTCATTTGTTCATTTTCTTTCTCTTTCCCACCCCCAGATAGATAAATACATAGGTAGACAAATGTAGACGTATGCATATGTCTATAGCATATGTAAACAAACACATGCATTTGTATATATGATTACCCACAAGAAATGCAATTGTCTTTATTATTCTCTCTTATTTATCTTCCTTACTAGTTTATCTTCTATAAAGGCAGAATCCACACATGTGTTCTCTAACTTACCATCAAAACCATGATGGCATTAGTCTCGGGGTCTATGCTTCACCCATAGGACTGTGGCATTCAAAACTGACAGAATGGGGAAGGATGGGGTGGAATCCACTGATAACCTATTGTTTTGGGGAAAGCCTATTATTCTCCTACTTCTCCTCTTAGAATAGAAGTTTCAGTTGACACAACTTGACTGGTAGATTCTACTCCATTCCTTGCAATTCCTGCCATTTTTCATCTCATCTGCTTGAAGACACATTGACAACAGAGCATTAAACACAAGAAATGATAACACAATAGACCTGAGAACACACAGATTTAAAAATAAGACTAATATAGGAATTTCAATAATCTGTTCACAAAACATCAAAGGCACAAAGCCCAAGGTCGCTTTCCAATATTTCCATTTACTCTTCAGTTCACGATGGCATGTGAGTCAGCAGCTTTGAAAAGTTGTAATGGTCCACACACAGTGGAGTAAAAGAAGTGGCAATGTGGGGGTGACTGGGGCTGCACCATGAGGTGGGGAGATCACCGTGAAAATATAACTGTGAATAACCCCAACATCAGCCACTGATAACCCACCAGAATCAAAACAAGGACTCTAGTTCTCAAAAGAGAACTAGATTTAGTTCTTGAACTAAGAACTCTTGATTTAGTCACATATTTTAAATATCATCTTTCCAGAATACTATATTACAGAAGAATCTACCTTTTTTCCTCAGCTCACCCTCCAGATTCATATACAATGTACTGAACTGGACCATAAAGGCTTGTTTTTCCTTCCCCAGGCACTACAGTCAGCCTGCATCTGATCCCCATGCCTCTGCCATGAATTTCATAGTCAGAGGTGCTCTGGCATACCCTGCTATGGTGCACACGCCTCCTGCTATCCAGTGTACATCTTGCCTCTTATGCTATCTCTTTATCAGAGGAGGTACTGGGATGTCTTCTTACCCTTCAGCTCCACGTCTTACAGCTCAAAAGAAGAGGGAGCATATGAGTTCTTGGCCTCAGTGCACATCAACCATGGTTTTTCTCATGGAGTCAAGATGATACAAAAGCAGTCATTGTACCACCCACCCAGCGACTGGATGATAACCCAGAAAATGTGATTGCCTCTCTCCAGAGAGTCCATTTTCAGGGTCAAAGCAAAGCAAGGCCCCAGGGAAGTATGCAAGAGAACTCACTTCTTCCTCTTCAATACCAGTCAGGTCCCAGAAGTAGCCCAGTCGCATTTGTAGTCTTTTCCAGTTTTCCAAAAACATGGTAGCTAAAGGAGAAGAGAGGATTCACTTAGTTTTGAAGATTCCAAATAGCATTTGAGTGCAACAGTGAGGTGGAGGGTGCACTTTAGATTTCACCTTTAGGAGCTGTGTCTAAAGCATTTAGTCTCTGTCTCCTACTTCTAGCTGGAGCTGCTAGAAGTAGGAGACATATTCCCCATCCTTGGAAGCTAACAGACATGTGTCTCTTAACAGTGGGGCTCTGTCCTGAAAAATGTATCACTGTATGATTACAGAGTATACTTACACAAATCCCCTGCCATGTCACTGGATGATACAATTTTACTGGACTGTCACTGCATATGTGGCCCTTAGCTGACCAAAACATCGTTACACAGTGTATGAATATATTGAAGGGACACACAAACACACCTTAGCCTACTTCTAGGTTATGAGACCAAGACAGTCCCAAGAAAGAAAGGACATATGGATGAAGGAGAAAAAAATGGAGGAATCTCTAGTCATTTTGACAAGCCTCATCTTGCTTATGCATACATTCTTTCTCTGGCTCCTTGATCAACATGCTCATTTTTCCCTCGCCTGTTTCTTTCTGTCCTTAGCCCCACTTCCTTTTCCTAGCCATTGATCCTGTCACTCTGAGATTATGCAACTGTCTCCTAACAGTTCTATCTGACTCCAGACTCCCAGCTTTCCAACTTCTCCTGCATGTGGCTGGTAGAATAATCACTGTAAATAGAATTTATGTATCATTCTATTTCTCTAGAAAATTTTTGGAGGATTCCTACCATTCCTGCACACCAGTCAGTATGCCTTCCCTCTGATACTTCCTCAAAAAGCCAATGCAACGTGCTGTAGGAAAGACCTGACAGCCACTGTGGCCATGGCTTGTCACCCTGGGAAGTGACACCTGCTCCAGGCCTTGCTGATCAACCAATCAGACTCTCTCTTTGGAAAGCTGAACTAAGCTGCACAAGGAGAAGCAGCGAAGGGAAATACGTAGCACCTGGGGAAAGGAGAGAAGCCTGTGGTTTCTGATAGCTTCCTCAGCTCCCATCCCCAGAAGGCCTGGCTATATTTCATTTCCTACATCCAAGAGCTTGCCTTTTGCTTTCTTACAGTAAATCTCCTGCACTTTGAGTGAGCTGAGTGAATTTCTAATCCTGCAAAAATGAGAACCCCAATAAGGCATCTGCCCCAATAAGGCATCACAATGTTCTAGACATTGTGAGGAGGATTATACGAATCTGATGTGGCTTTCGCTCTCAGGTCATCAGCAGTCTATAAGCAAAGATTGTAAATAACTACAGTACAAGGTATCAACCGGCCCTAGCTGTAAGAACAACACAGATAACAAGCAGTGTGCACACAGAAGAGGAAGGCCGGCTGCCAGAGAAGACATCTGAGATGGGTTTCAACAAACAACAGGGTTCAAACAGTGAAAAAGAGGTGAGCACAGAGACAGCGCCCACACTCCCCTGTCTGGCTTTCAATGAGTTCTTATGGTGTAAATTCTGTCTGGATGCCAAGACCATACATGCATGGCCTGAGCCTTCTGTCTGAATCTCTTACACCACTCATCAACACACACCGCACAACTGTACTCAGCGCTGCTGGGTTCAGCTCCTCACTGTTCTTTCCCTCAACAGACTGCACATTCTCGGCCTTTCCTATGCTACCCTCCGGGTCCCTCCCTTATCCCCTGCTGACCCAGCCCAGGTGCTCTCTTCCTCTACACTCCTGCTGCTCTGAAGGTCACAGCACCCTGGAAAGGGAAGAGATGCCCCCCGAGGCTATTCCTCCAGCTGCACAGCTGGTAAGGGCCAAGGGCACCCCAGTGCATGCACACGTGACTACTGCTTGCTTTTGCCAGCCTGCAGGATTATGTCAGAGCTGCATCTGGACTCACAGCCGCCTATGTGTAACTTAAGACCAACATACAATTGAGCGGATCATAAGTACCTTGGCTGAATGTGCAGCTTCTTAAAGCTGAATTATGGGTGCACTAATACATACGGTGTCCCCCTTGGATTTAAAGGTTTCTTTATGAGTACATCCTGTCCTCCTGATGTCAACGGTGACAACTCATGGTACCTGAAGAGGCTGTGCATACAACAGAGCTCAGAGACTGACCAACCTGGGTCTTCCAGAAAGAAGAAAGCCACACTGTGACACAGACGAGAGAGCAAGGGAGCAACAAGAAGAGGTGTCACAAGGGCCAAGGAAGGTCCTTATGCAAGAAGAACAGCTCACAGCTCCTGGGTACACACAAAGGTAACTGTTCTGCACACAAACTTCATTCCCTTGTCTTGAGAGGACAATAGCATAGGCATAGGCATTAGGTCACCCAGCTCAAAGATTAGGCCAAGGATGCTCAAAGATGAAGTAACATGCCCACGGTAACAGGGCTCCAGGGTTGAGAGCACTGATGTCAGTGACACATAGCTGGTCAGCATTTACTTGCTATGGGTTTCACAGTTGTCAAGGAGCAGACCAGAGACATATATTGAGTACAATCTGACCCCAGCTCGTGTCCCTCACCTCTCATCAAAAAAGAGTTCAGAAACTCCATCTCTTTACTTCCCTTTTCAATAGAGCTTCCATCTCCCAAAGGTTCTTGGTGTAGCCAGAACTGCAATAAAGCTGGGCCTGAAGATTTCAGCCGACTCAGGTCCTGCTGACGAGTACCCTCATGACCCCCAGTGTCCCCATACAACCCTTTCTCACTGCTACCCAGAGCCCAAGTCGCTGCACAGAACCACTTCTTCACAGCCTTCTGGCAGGCCTAGGTCTTGGCCCAGGCCCACCAAGCACAACACCACTAATCATAATAATTATGGTAATGAGAGGCATTACTGTAATTTTTAATTGTAATTTGTAGGCAATCATGCCTAGGGCTCTTGGCTGCTGTAACCAAATACATAATCACATAAAACACAGCAAGGCTGTTAAAAAAAAAAAAAAAAGTCTACCCTACTCTAGTAAGCTCTGACACAATCCCATCCTTTTGTACTTTCGAGGGGTGGGGACAGTAAATTATTGAGGCTCTCAGAGGGAAGGAGAATCTGCTCATCACAGTTATTGCGGAAAGACAAGAGATAGTTGTTGGGGCTTGAAATTGCAAAGTACAAGTGAAAACCACATTTCTGTATAACAATTATGTACCCCCAGAAAAGTCTTTGAGGGATCATGGCCCAGCATCATTAAGATTTACTTACTCAGTGGTGGTGATGTACACTAGACAAGTTCACGGAAATTAAAGTCATAATATATCAAAAACCAAATGTGTATACCAGGTTCCAAATCAGCTCAAGTGGATTTCAGGGTAATTACAAGATACCCTCCTCGACGGGGAGACATGGAGATGCCCACACCTTACCACGCAATAAGCACTTCTGTTTGTCATATTGACCCTTCCTGCCCACATTCCAGACCTCTCAGGACCCGAATTTCATTTCTTCCTATTTGCTGCTCCCAGTTTAAATGGGCTGGGCTGGCTCCATAATGCTCTGAGGAGCAGCTGTTTTCCTTGAGACCTAGAGCGCCCCCTTCAGGTCTTCCTTGATTGCCTGTCAATACTACAGGAATTTTTCAGGCTAGTTCTACCTCTATCCAAGGAAAGTCCCCACAGGAAATGAGGAAGTGTGTGTTCCTGTTTCCCCAGACCTTCCCCTCTCCGCTCCTGTTCACACTCTCAGGGATGTGTGACTCAGGCCCCATCCTGTCGGATCCTGCAGGCCCCACAAAGGCAGTGACAGATCAAGCACACCCTTGTCCTGCTGGCCTGCAATCCAATGGGCATGCCAAGGGTGTGCACCCACCCCCCTAAAAAAGAGGTGGATGCTCCAATGGACTGAGACATGGTGACTTGGTCTCTTTTCAAATACACCTGGACATAATGCTTTAAAAATGTTAGCTACCACAGGATGGTTGTTCCAGGTTATTCCAGTTTTCTAAGAGCGCGAGCATGCATGCATGCTTTGGTGAGAAAACTGAAAACACCACCTTGGCGTGGTATCTCTACAGCAGCTGTGTCTAGCATTATGGATGACTTTTGTGGAACACAGTTTTTCTGTGAATCAGGGTGTAGGAGAGGGGGGTGGTTTCAGCATTAGATTCTCATGAGGAGTACATAATTTAGATCCGTCTACTGCCATCACTGATCTGACCAGAAGCAGAGCTCAGATAATGTGAGCAATGGAGGAGGGTCTGTGAACATAGGCTCAGCTTTACCTACTCACCTGCTGCTCACCTCCTGCTGTGCAAACAGGCTCCTCACAGGCTACAGACTGGGACAGGTATGTGGTCCAGGGCTTGGGGACCCTTGACCTATCATCTACACCCACCATGTCCTGAAACCAGCACTGAGCCTAGAGTCAGAAGGCCAGCTTTCAGCCCACAATGACCACCCATTTGCTCTCTGACCACAGTGGCCATGTTACCACTCTGTGTCTTAGAGTGCATGACATCCACGACTTTATACCACTAAGGGAGTGTGAACAGGGTGGCTTATGAGTATGCTGGGGATATTCAAAGCATGGATTGGTTTAAATTTTGAATAAACCATACATGAGCACAGCATGGAGTTCACATTATTGTATCTAAGAGATATTTCTATTCACATGTGACTAGAAGGGCAAGGTATTGCCCTAAAAAATACTTATTCTGAAACAAAGCAAACAGACCAAGGAAAGTCAAATGAAGATTATGAGCCTTAGAACCTGGTCCCGTGCTCACTTCAGGGTGGCCCCCACATAATCAAGGCTCATGATGACCACTTACCCCACAGAGCCATGAAGATGGAGAAGAAGACAGTGGCAGGGTTGTCAAACAAGTGGCTGGCCCGCGCGGTCCCACAGGCTGAGCTGAGATTCCAGTAGTCACAGGACTTGTCACAAAGGGGACACATGGTGAAGGCGTTCTGCTGGTCACACATCTCTTTGCTGAAGTACACAGAGGAAGCTAGGTTAGGGGGAGCTTGAGCAGGGCCCGCTCCAGAAAAATCACCCCCAACCAGCTCCTATTTCCAATTACATGGTTAGGTTTATCAACTCCATAAATAAGGAATGTCAGAGAGGTTGGGTTTGAATTCCACACTTTGAAACTATTAAAGATGAATGGACCTTGATCTGAGGTATAAAGCGTCCCCAAAAGTCCATCACCATGTACCAGACACTGTGCATAAAACATACCTTAGAAAGTTCCCTTGAAGTGTTTCATCTGTGAGACTGGTGAAAAGTACCAACAACTGTGAATAAATAACCAGCCATAGGATTCTATCATCTATTCTTCAACCACAACTGTCTTTTCAAACACTACTTACTGGCTGTGTCACAAATGCGTGACACTAGTCACAAGTAGAAACGAACATGAGTGCATGGCTGGATCAGCACACTAGCAGGAGAAGCTGTTGGAGGAGGGATGCAATAGTCTGGTTGTTTTTCTAAGAACATGAGTTGGATGGCCATTTGTTGAGTGGACATTAATAACTTCAATCTAATAAGAATTACCATGACCATGAAATGAGATTAGGGAGAATGGAAGAATAGGGTAAGTTTTTCCAAGGTCTAGATTTTCTGATGTTTGGACAGAGAACATGAGTCAAATAATTCCAATGGTTTATATTCTAACTGTCCCTTGTATATTTTATTTAATTGACTCATGGGTATATTTGAAATTCCATTCATTCATTAAATGATTTGCTTGGTCCAATAAATTCCAGCTTCTACAAACGCTTATATGGAAGACTTAAAGAATTATCAGCCCTGATTGGCTTCTCCTATTCTCCATATCATACACACAATGGTTGAAAACAGTGAATTCATCGCTCTGTGAACCTTTCCCCATGGAAGTAGGTGAAGGGTTGAGGGCTGGGGCGGAGAACTCAAGATTTCACGCAAACCAGGCACTGGTAGCTCTCACAGAGCAGCCGGAGGTTGCAGGCTGGAGAGAAAGGGCTTCTTGTGCCCAGAACAACAGGCGCGTTTCCTGCAGGGCTGGGCAGCAGAGGGCGCTGCAGAGCGTGGCGAAGAGTGGGAGGCCACTGTGGGTTAAGGGCGGCCCACCCTGAGCTGGAGACCCCGCAATACCTGCCCGCAGCGCCTGCATCTACTTCCGCCTCATTATGGAGCTGAAGAGTGGGAGACTTACTGAGGGCTGTCACTTTTTGTCAAGTCCCAGCTTCTAGACTTCTGTTTTTAATGAGCTATTAAGTCCCTGGCAGCGAGAGGCCTTCTGTGTGAGAGAATGGAAACTGTAGCTCTCGCAGGCTAGCTGCTTAGTTCCTCACTGACAGGCTGCTAAGCTCCCCTGGTAAATGTCAATAAAAATGACTCATTCCCATCGCAAATACTAACTGTGATAGCGTGGTTTACACTCAGCTGTGCAGTTTTACCTGGTCATGGTCTTGCTGCTAACTGGAGAGTGAGGCTTAGTTTAAATCTTCTGAGGCAGACAAGTGTCTGCTCCATGGGTAAGAGATTTCCTTGCATTCAGAGAGTGTCCTCCCAAAAAACAGATTTCACAGAAAACTGCTCGTGTAAATCCCACGAAAGAACCTTGCCTTTATACCACAGCTCAGAATACGTGAATTTCTCAGTGCTGCCCTTCAAGTAACTGTGTTGAGAGTTTTGTGTTGTTTTGTTTTGTTTTGTTTTGCTTTGTTTTTAAAAGCATAGACTGTGGGAAAGAAAGAATCCTAATTAATGAATTTAGTCAGTGCAAAAAAAGTCAGGCATGAAAAAAGTAATAGCGAATAACCTGACCTGATACAAAGCACTTTAAGAATTCATGCTGGGTAAATTGCTGAGATTTTTATGTTAGAACACAAGCATCTATCAATGATTTCCACCAAACAGCAGTCATGAGCATGGATTTTTCCTTCATTCTGTTTAATTTAAAGTCAATGCTTGCAATGTTTTGGAGAGTTTTGAGGTAAGCAATTTTAACAGCATTCTAGAGAAATTCTATCTCAGAATGGCATAAAATTAATCTTTGATTCTAGGAGAGGCCAACTCTGTGCAAGCTCAAAAACAGAGGAAGTTGACCTAGAACTGAAATCATGTTTCAATTGCTCACCAGATTTCTAGTTAGAAATAACTGTGGCTATAAACTGAATGATATAGTTTTCTTCAATTATCCCCTCTAGAAAGCATAAGAAGGTTGACAGTAATTTGACAATTAGTTGAGTCAAGATCCAAAATCAAGTAGAGTTCTTTTATTGCAGGACTGAGGATTGGGCCCAGCTCCATCTCTAATTCTTTGTTATGTTTTACTTTGAGGCAAGGTCTCACTAAATCTCTAAATTTCCCAGATTGGGTTCCAACTTGCAATCCTCCTGCCTCAGCCTCCCATTGTGCTGGCATTACAAGTGTGTGCCACCATGTTCAACACCAAGTAGAGTTCTTAAGATTAAACCACAGCTCATAAATTGAATGAGACAGAGCTAGGCGCGGCACAAAGGGGGAAGACACAGAGAGACAATTATTCAGGAAATTCAGACAAAACATCTGGTATTAAGGTCTCAGACTTACAACCAACTTTTTTTCCAGTATGGTTTAGATTAATCAGTGTTTTCTTAAAATGTTACATTGTTCCCTACCCACATGAGTAAGTGTTTCACACATGAAACCAATTCTTGATAACTAAAATTCTATAGGTGTGTCCTGCATGCAAAATTATTTATAAGCTTATGCATACATCTCTTATATCCAAGCTACTGGGGAAGAAATGATACCATTTAACATTTTGCATAACAAATGCAATTTTTCTGGTTTTGAAACTACTTATGGAAGATATAAGCACTAGAGAAGGGATACACAGAGTCCCTCTGCCCCTCTGTATTTTGCAACTTCTATGAATCTATCATTTTTCAAAATAAAAAAGTTTCAAACCTGCATGATGGTACACATTTATATAAACCCAGTACTCGGGAGACTGAGGCAGGAGGATCTCAGAGAGTTCAAGGCCAGCATGGGCTACAAAGTAAGTTCAAGGCCAGCCTGAATCCCATAGCCAAAACCTGTCTCAAAAAGGCCAAAAAAAGTTTTAAAAAGTGATCCATAGATTATAAATTCTGAGCTTAATGACAAAATTAGCAACCTCTAAAATAATTCCAAAAATAATGTAAGTTTTTAATCACATGTAAGAACAGAGAGGCAGAGACCCTTACAGAGTATGAATCTCTTTAGATTCAAGACTGAGATTTAAAGAAGAGTCCTCTGTTGATGAGAAGTGATATATTTTGTATTTCTTTAGGCCCCTAAAACTTGGACTTTTAATGGATATATTAAAGAGCAGTTTATTTTTTAAAAATTATCTACATAACATGTTTTATTTTTGCTATTACTTACTACCTGATTCACCAGACTGTAATACTCTGAAAACCAACAATAAAAATTTCAAATTTGTATCAATCAGTTTCAAATTTGTTTTACTAAGATTCACAATTCAAAATTTTTGTGTCAGTACCTCTTTAATAAACAGTGCTGGAAATACTGGATCTTTACATGATGAAGACTGAAACTAGACCCATATCTTTTACCATGCGCTAAACTAAAGTCAAAATGGATCGAAAATCAAAACATTAAAACAGAAACAATGAATCTGAAGAGAAAGTAGGTAGAAATCTTGAAGACATAGGTGTAGGCAGAGAGTTCATGAACAAAACCTAAACTTCATAGGAAATACTTCAAACAACCAACAACAGGGATCACATCTTATTTAAAAGCTTTTGAAAATCAAGAGAAATTACTAACAGAGTGAAAAGACAACCCACAGAGTAGGAGAAATTTTTAGCCAGTCTTACCTCAGACAAAGGACTTACATCTAGAACATACAAAGAACTGAAAGAACTCATATCTCAAAATTCAAAAACCCTCTCCAAAAATGGGCATCTGAGGTGAACACAACACAGTTCTCAGGTAAAGAAATACAAATGGCAAATAAATACATGAAAAAATGTTCAACATCACTGGTCATCAAGAGATGTAAATTAAAACAATACTGTGATTCCATCTCACTCCAGAAAGAATGCCTTTCATCAAGAAATCAACCAATAGGGCCGGCGATTTAGCTCAGCCAGTAAGCACCTGCCTGACAAGCACGAGGTCATGAGTTCGATCCCTGGTACAAAAAAAAAAAAAAAAAAAAAAAAAAAAAACAGAAGGAAAGAAAGGAAGGAAGGTAGAAAAGAAAAGAAAAGATATCAATCAATAACTAATGCTGGAGGGGCTGTAGGGAAAAAGGAACCCTTCTCCACTGTTGGTGGGAGTACAGACTGGTGCAAGCACTGCAGAAATCAGTATGGAGAATCCTCAAAAAGCTAGGACTGGAAGTTCATTCAATCCAGCTATTCCCCTCCTGGGTATCTTCGCAGAAGAATTGAAAACATCAAACCACAGCAATATATGTGTACCCATGTTAATAGCAACACAATTTGTAATAGCTAAATCTTGAAAGGAACCCAAATACCCATCAGCCAAAGCATAATAAGAAAGATATAGTACCTTTATATAATGAAATACTATTCCGCCATAAAAAAGGATATACTTGAGACTTTTATAACTAAATAAATGTAACTGGAGACCATAATCATAAGAGAAATAAATCAGACTCACATGTGTAAACATCATATTGTCTCCCTGATGTGAGAAATTTTCTGAAGGAATAAAATAAGGTCTAAAATGTACAACAGATTTTGTGAAGTGGGAAGCAATTGTTTAAAAGGAAAAAGGAACTAGGAGAGGAAAGGGGAAAGGAAATAAAGAAAAAGGGAGAAAAATACAAGGCAGCTATCAAATAGTGTCTCACGGTTCACTGAAAAGGAAGGTCTGTGCTAATACCGATTGGAGAATTTTTTATGGCCATTATCTTGCTCTCTGAGTAACTACTTTGAAGATGACAATGTGTAATGCATTAACTATTGTTATTCTCCTATTATTTTGTTATGAAATTCTGTTTTATCTTTTTTCCATAAAATTTGTAACAATTTTGCATCAGATTTCAGCTTGTGAATCCATAGATACCCTCACCTCACAAACATACCATAATACCTCCCATCAAACATTCCTCCTTCCTCCTTTTAATGATTTCTGATGTTTCATTTCCTCTACTATAACATACTCTAGTTCATCAAAAAAATTATTGAACTGATCCCCCAACCTGCCAGCGGGTTTTTTTCCATAGGTGGAGAATGCACCCTTCTCTAACACTGTGACATATCCGTGAGGGTGACAATTGCCCCTTCAGTCTGTGTATCCCTCCACACATCTGAGTGTGGGGAATGCGTGGTGTGCGTGCCTCTGTATAGACTGACACCTGGGCAGCATGTGCAAACCATGGCCATTTGCAGGCACAGCGGTTGCTGCCACATGTACCCCCACATTGACAGCAGTTCACAGTCCTCTTGATGTGGACTCGCACATGAACATCTCCATCCCAGGAGCTCTAGGAAGGAACTCAGGACCTCCACGCTTAGCTACACCCCCAAACTCCTTTTATTTGTTTTGAGACAAGGTTTCTCTAAATTGCACAAATTGGACTCAAACTTTTAATCCTCATGCCTCAGCCTCCTAGGACCCTAGGTGATGGTGTACACCACTCTGGCCAGCTGAGTTTTCCTGTTTTGATCAAGCTGAAGTCAGATTGCTAGGGATCACAACTAAGGAGGGAAAACACACGAGTCATGTTTCCTGAGAATGTACCCAGACAAGCCCAGGCCAAAGTACTAGATGGCCAGCAAGAATTTGTACATCTGAAAAACCTCATTGCCATTTGGAAAAGGCAAAGGCTTCAGAGCACGAGGCAGTAGAGCTCACTTACCTCTCAGCCCTAACAAATGTAAGCTATTGGACATGGTCACGAGTCCATGTCTAAGCGGAAATAATAATATTTATCCTATAGAGTTTACAATGTTGATCTCTTGTAAGATCAAAGAAACCAATACATAAAAGCCAGCTAGCACCATGCCTGGCTTAGGTAGGCATTTCCTAAGTAGTATTTCCTAAGTAACATTTCTTCTGCCCTCGTGCTAGATGGGCAGAAGGCAGAACCCTAGCACTGAATCCCCTGTGCCTAAACTCCAGAATTTCCAATCCAGAACAGATGATGAGATACATTGAAGTATCCATGCTCTTGTCTCTTACAGCAAGTTACTAAGCTTTATGCTACATATTAACAGGGTCATCTCCAGCTTATCTGCTTCACAAGACCATTTCTGTAAACTTGGCAAGATACACTACCTCCCTCCTGCTCACTGAAGGATACCTTTTCCTCAAAAAGTACAGCTCTTGGCCATTTCTTCAGGAGGGCCATTGCATCACCACTATACTCTTCCATCCATAGTGGACACACACCCTCTCACAACTATCCTCCTCTGTCCATAGTGGACACCCCCAGTCTCTCTGATATCCTCATCTACCTGGTCACTGAAGCACTAGCATGCTGTGACAGACTGATTGTGTCCCTCTGTCATCATTGTTCTAAGACATCGATCTATGCCATACTGAGCTAATGGGACACTTCTCTTTTGAGCTGAAAACTCTCGGACATCCCACGCACAAGCTATCAAGCACACTGTTTACATTCAAATGGAGAAGAGCTGAGACAAGAGACCAGAGGTTAAAGAAAAGCCCCTATTCTAGTGTTTACTAAGACAACCATGTGCCTGCACTGAGCATGCTGGGAAACTCTTCCAATGAATTCTTCTTCACTCCATCTAGTTAAAGTTACATTTCTATATCTTGTAACCAAAAGAGTATTAAAATACATTAAGCACCAATAGTTAGCAAGGACAGTTTGGAAGATAGCAAGAGATTTCAACTCTAAATTTTAGCCAAGCATCTTTTTGGCCCTTGTACTCTGTCCATATATTTTGATTCATGCAGAAATCATTTATTAATCCTCTGTTATATGCCAGATGCTGCCTCCTTTAATCCCCAGAACACCATGAGGTAGGCATTATGATTCCCACTTTGTAGCCAGGAAACTAAGACTCAGGGAGTGAACTGTCCAGTGCACAGCTAATGTGTAATGTCATCTGTACAAAAGGATACTATTTTTAAGAGTTTATTTTCTTTGCAGCCTCTCTCTTCCATAAAGGCTGGCCTTTGTTCTGTCTCTGGGCTTGCCAAGAACCCCACCAGGAGACCTACCACTTTCCACATTTTCTGATTTCTGCAGCCACAGACTGAACCCTTCTCAATTCAGAACCACCTGCTTCTCACAGCATCTAATTGTAACAGTGTTTGACCACCTAGACATTTGACTTCTACCTGAAGCCATTCTGTATACCATACCTTGGTTTTCATTTTTTTAAAAATTCATGAAATAAAGGAAAAAATCATTTGTCTGGCTTGATGTTTTTCTAACAGGTTTTACCTCCTGCCCCCATCAGACACTGGCTCTGAAAAAAGTCCAGCTAAGAAAGGAAGCAAACCACACCCAGTAGAGCTGTAAAGCCATTCCTAGAATCTGTAGTTCCCAGATCTATCTCTGGAGGGAAGTCATGCATTGCCCATCAACCGATGGTAGTGAAAACATGGTAGTTATGCACAATAGAGCACTACTCTTCCATAAACAAAGATAAACTTGAGCTATTTGTAGGAAAAATGGATGCACTTTGACACTGTAATATTTAGTGGAAGAAATGACACATGAGCTTTAATATCACAAGGTCTTTTTCATACAAGAAACCCAAAGTATGTCATTTTAATAGCCCAATAATAGATACATCATAGAAAACAAGGAGACAGAACTTTGCAAGTTGGAAGGAGACCAAGAGATGGGTAGGATGGAAGTAAAAACATTAAGATGTGTTGCGTGCATGTATCAATTCCCCAGTATCAGTGTGACTACTATGTACCATAACCATGTACTAAAAACATCTTTTTAAAAAAAGGAGGAGATAGAGCCAGGACTTTAGAAGGAGACATGTAAGATGGACTTGTAACTGGCACAAAACTCAAAACATGAGCATACAGGAACCTAGGCTTTTGCTTTAAAACTGACTTACCTGGGGATATCTTCTTCAATTGTTGCACAACCATACAGAAACACGATGACCCCAATTACAGAAGATGGGATGAGAAATGATGTATACAATCCCAGCCAGGCAAAGTAGAGTCCAATTTTTTCTCCAAAATACTTTCTGAAGAAGAAAAATCAAACATATATTAAGAACATTACATCTTGTCCTTACTTCTGATTGCCCCATGACTAAAAAGGGGTGAGGACCTTCATCCTTTCTTGAAGTTAGTACAAAGGATGGAAGTTTCGTGGGGGAGAAGGGCTCCACACAAAGAACCAACAAATGGTGTTTTCTTAAGTAAAGTGCATTGCACTGGAAGCACATATGCACACCTGTCTGGTGTTCATGTGAGACAGGAATACAGCCCTAAGAGCAAACTAAAAATATAACACAAGTGTTGGCATCTTTACCAAACATGAATAATGCATTACTATTTCATGGACACCACAGAACTCAACCTCCAGAAAAGTAAGCTGATTTACTGAGGTCGACTTACATATAAAATGCTGACCTTAGTTAGCTTCTAGGACTTGATGAGATTGGGAGAAATATAGACCCACAAGAACATCACCCCCAATCAGTCCAGAAACATATCCATTGCTTTCAAGTTTTCTTCTGCCCAGCTCCTTTTTAAAAAAAAAATTTTGTTTTGCATCTTAAGATCTGCCTTCTTGGCAATTTTAGTTATATAATACAGTACTGTTAGCTATAGGATCTATGTTGTGCAATAGAACTCTAGTTCTTGAACATTTAAACTTTACATTCTTAGACTGACAACTCCTCATTTCCCTCTCCTTGAAAGCCATGATAACCATGATTCTGCTCTCTGGCCCTATGTACTTGATAAATTTTAATTCCTCATAAAAGTAGTATCATGTTGGGTTTGTCCCCTGTGCCTGGCATATTTCACCTAGTGAAACACTACAAATGGCAAGACTTCCTTTTCTTGTAAGGCTGAATATTATCTCACTGTATGCAGGTACCATGTTTTGCTTATCTGTGTATCGTTTGGATGCTTGGGTTACTTCCAGACTTTTGCCAGTGTGAATAATGAGGCCATACACATGGGAGAGCACAGATCTCTTCAGTATTCTGACTTCATTTTCTCTATATATGTATCCAGAAGTGGGATTGTTGAATCAAAGAGCAATAATGCTTGTTTTCCTTTGGTTTTAGATAACAGCTCTTTCAACAAATGTGAAATGACATCTCACTGTGGTTTTGCTTGGTGTATTTCTGATGACTGGTGATGTTAAACACCTTTTCATAGACTTGTTGGCCTGTTGTACGTCTTCTTTGATGACACGTCTGATGAAGACCACTACACAGTGACTCTGAGCAGGATTCAAAATTAATCAATTGACTTTCTGTATTTACTTTTGGGTCTGTCGCAGGCCTAGGCAACTTGCTCAAAGCATGCAGTAAGTGCAACTCTCCATGCCAATTGTCACAGTAAACCCCTGTATTGGTCCATGACACTGTGACATCTCAGAGGGCAAGATAAACCCACATCTGAGGACACCGGCTCTCACTCCAATTTTTAAAATAAAACTGAAACTGCAGCCATTTGGGTCCTGCTGTAAATGTCAACCTGAGAAATAGGACAGTTCTCTAAACTGACAAACATTACTGCTGGGGGAAGTCTTTATCTAGACCTCTCAAGATTCTGCTTAAGTTTCCAACCTTATCTCAGCCATCCCTTTTCTTCATTTGAAAACCCAATAAGTATTGAAAGTATTTCTCTTAGTTCCTAAAGAGTTTTGACCTTCCTGGACTTCCCCTAAAACATATTACATTGACTTCTTTATTTAAGCCTTCACCATAACTCATTTTAGGAGATTAGGAATTAGGCTAGTCCTTGATTCATGTCTTTTCAGGTCCTTTGCCAATTTTCAATCAGGTAGATTGTGGGAGGTTTTGTTGTTCTTGTTGGTTTTACAATTGGGTTGCAGGAGTTTCTTCTATTTTTGAATATGAATCTTGTAGTCAGGAGTTTCAAGGAAAACAATTACATACATGGCACAGAATTTATAATATTATCTTATGATGGTCACCCAGAGTTGCATTTAAACAAAAGAGTATAGGAAATCTGTCCACAACACTAAAGATCTGGAAAACCCAGCTGAGGGCCTGGATCCCATAGCAGTGTCCTGCATGAGTCCAGCTGAAGACCTAGAGTCCGTGACAATGCCTCCCATGAGCCCAACTGGAGGCCTAGAGCTCACGACAATGACTCATGAAAGTCTGTTTCATAGATCTGTGCTGGGAAAGCCCAAAGGTCAGTGTGGTGGAAGCTATAAAGTCTGCGCCAGTGAGGTGAAGGATCTGTGCTAGCAGGCTGAGGGTTCTGTACTGGAGCCAAGAAGTGATACTCAAAATAAGAACCAGAGCTCCCCTGAAAAGTACCCCAGTGACAATGAGCTCCTGAGCTCCTCTGATGATGAGAACAGTTGAGTACATGTCAGGAAGCCAGCATAACAAGCTTTTCCTGGAGATTAAACAGCACACATCTTCCCCTCCAGATCCAGGAAGTGATATTCAACATAAGGACCAGCCCTCTCCCAAAGTAAACCACAGCCGTTCTCAACAACAAGGTCTCAGGCTCCTCCAATGATAATGGCTGAGTTCATATCTGGGAACCTAGCCATGACAAGCTTCTCCAGGAAAACCAGTGACTCCAAACAACAGCAACACTGAGGAGAACTCGCTACACCTCACTCTTCCTCTCCACATCACCTTTTATGCTGGCAACTTTCCTCAAGCAGGCCATCTACACTTAGCACCATGCCGATTTAGTTCAGGTAAGGTTAAGTTGACTACCAGTTTTTAATCCATAATAAATCTTTTGCTAGATACATGGTTTACATGTATTTTCTTTCATTTGTTAGGTTGCGTTTCATTTAGTTTTCTTTACTGTGTAGAATGTAGCTTTTCAGTATGATATAATCCCACTTGTCTATTTTTGCTTTTGTTCTCTATGCATATCACGTCACATCCAAGAAATCACTGCAGGCTGATAAGCCATGCAAGCCATGTGGCCTCCAGGAAGAGAAAAGTCAGCACCTCCCGTGGGCATAGGGGCTGAGAATCAAGCCTTGCCCACCCCCACGCCCCACACTTCCACCAAGCAACCAGTTGGTCCAAGGGCAGCAACTAAGGTACCTAAAGCAACAAACTGGATATATTGTTTGGTCGATTTTGCAGGCCTGGGGCCAGAAGTCTGAGCATCTCTTGGGAGGATAACAGTGTGCAGTATAGCAAATGTGGGGCATTTCCTTCTATCTTGTCTTTCAACATTGTTCTGTTTTGCTTTGTTCTGATTGTTTTGTTCTATTCAATATTCTGTTTTGATTGGTTTTATTCTGTTTTGCTTTTGCTTTGATTTTGCGACGTCTGATGGAATGGACAACTACTGTGAAGATAACAAAATATACTATGGTAGCTATTGTTATTTTCCTAGTGTCCTGCTGTGAAGTTCTGTACCAATTTTGCTGCTTTCTTTTGATGGACTTTGTTCTGTTTTGTTTTGATGGATTTTACTATCTTTAAAATAAAATAAAATGAATCACTATGGAATCCAATATCAGTTCAGTACATGTCAGGAAGCCAGCATGACAAGCTTTTCCTCTAAGTTTTATTCTAAGGATGCCATTCTCAATTTCATTTATTTCTTTCCTTCTCAGGTTTTACATTTAAGTCTTTAATCCACTTGGAAGTCATTTTTTTCTATGGTGTAAGATTAGGGTTCAATATTATTCCCAAGTTCTGGGACTATATGCATGCATCACTATATCTGTTAGAAATTTAATTAATTTATTTTTTTCCAATTTGGATGTATGCACTTTCCCATTATTACTTATGGAACAGTAAGTAGTACAGACATTTAAACAATATTAATTCTTCTAACCCATAAATACAAGATGTCCTCCCACTTATTTGGTCTATTTTCATTAAAATTTTACAGTTACCATGCATCTTTCACTTCTTTGGTTTAAGTTTATTTCTAGACACTTTATTCCTTTTGCTTTTATTACAAATGAGACTTTTAAAATTAATTTTATTTTCATATATGTCATTGTTGATACAAAAAGTACAACTAATTTTTTATTTTGATAACTTAAAACTACTAAAATTGCATAGTAGTTATAACGGGATTTCTTGGTGGAATACTAAGGATTTTCAATGCTTGAGATCATGTCATCTGAAAAAAATTTTTTTTTATCTTTTTGAGACAGGGCCCCACTATGCAATTCAGGCTGGCCTTAAACTCACTTTGTAGCCCAGGCTTACCTCGAACTCACAGTGATCCTCTTGCCTCAGCCTCCCAAGTTCTGGGACTATAGGCATGCATCACTATATCTGCTAGAAATTTAATTAATTTATTTTTTTCCAATTTGGATGCCAACTAATTCTTTTTTTCTAATTATACTAACTAGGATTTCTAGTGCAATGTTGATTAGGAGATGCAAAAGTGAATATATTTATCTTATTTTAGAACTTAGAAAATTTTTAGGTTTTCACTATTGAATGTGCTGCTGTCCTCTGAATTTCATGAATAGTTTTTATTGTGCTGTGATAAGTTCTTTCTATATCTAGTTTGTTGATTTTTTTTATCATGAAATAGTGTTAAAATTTGTTAGAAGTTTTTCTGCTTCTGTTGAGATGATAGTATATTTTTTATCTTTATTCTTTTAATGTGGTGCATCACATGGATTGATCCATATATGTTGAACTATCCTCATGATGTAGAATAAAATCCTACCTGATCATAGTGTACAATCACTTTAGTACTGTTTTGAACTTGGCGTATTTTGTTAAAGGCTTTTGCAACTATGTTCCCCAAGAACATTGTCCTTTATATTTCTTTCTTTAAGATATCTCGGTTGGACTTTGCTAACAGAACAATGCTGGCCTTCAGAAGAGTTTGAAAGTTTGCTCTTTTTCTATTTTTTAAAAGAGTTTTAAAAGGATTGATATTAATTCTTCTCTGAATGTTTGAAATAATTGATCCGTGAAACTATCTGCTGTGGGTTTTTCTTTCCTAGGAGATTTTTACTACTCCTTCAATCTCCTTCTTGTTATTGCTCTGCTCAGATTTCACATTTCTTCTTCATTCACTC